CCCCCCCACACACACACACACACACACACACGCACACGCACACGCACACGCACACGCACACGCACACGCACACGCACACACACACACACGCACACGCACACACATACATACACACACACGCACACACATACATACATACATTTGGATCCACCTGACGGAGGATCTAAACTAAATCTGCTGTGACACTGGTACCTGGGGAGTGTTTCTCTAAACACCCGGCAAGAGCTTGTAAAGAAGATTTTTCTCAGCCGTGTTTTATCCAAGATGTAGAAATGTACATTTTGCATTTACGAGGAGAGGAAACAGGTTGGGCTGATGTTTAACCAAAGCTCGCTTTATTATTTCTTTGAATAAGATCTTAAAATATTACTTCGGGCCCGTGAATTCAATGGGCCTACCGAGAAACGGGCCCGTGGGCCGGGAGACACCCTGTGAGAGTAAAGAGTGTTTTTACCCTGGACATAACAAAGTAACCGGCTCACAACTCGAACCCACTCCTTTCGAGCCAGTTTCAAGTGCACTAACCGCAAGGCCACCGCGGTTATTATATACAAGTCGTTGTTAAGTAAGCAAGGAGGGTACTGCGGTGAGAAACATTCGGCTGTCAGAAAGGGAAAGTGTAACATTTTTGTAACCTGAGTTGTTGGTGTAAAGTAAAACCAACGTTCTTTACTACCTTCCGTAGGGATTAAAACAATAATAGTCAAATAAAGCTAAAGTGTAGATTTTTTTTACATGTTATTTGTTCTAGAATTGTTAACAGCGCCTATGTTCCGAAGCGAAGAAATCCAAGTCCTCGAAAATGTAACGTACCCAAAAAAGATGGCGAGGGCATTGCTAAGACGGTCAGGCGCTCGAAACCTCTCACGGACGATCTTCTCCCACCGCCATCAGAAACCAACATCCAGATGATGGCCACTTATAATAGTGTGTTCCATTTTGTTGAGCTTCTTCCCCATCATAACCTGTTACCAAGAACGGGTGACACGCCCAAGCAGCTCAATGGACTCAGGGTGAAATTCTCAGACGCCGAAGACAACCTTTTGGCTTTGGGTATGAAGCAACACGGTAAAAAGTGGGAGCTTATCCAAGAACACCTGTTGCCCATCAAGAGTCCAAAACAACTGCAGATTCGCTGCAAAAATCTGCTGTCGGCCCGCGCGCCAGAGAACATTGTCAAGTACTACCGTAGGAACAAAGTGCTGTGGGAATTTCCCACTAAAATCAGAGTGTCTCCAGGTAAAATTTTTGGTCTTTCCGTAGTAGTGCATTGCACATCTCTACTGTGCATATATTCACGCGTAAAGCTCAACTTTTTTCAAAGTCGCCATTTGGCGACCTAAAATAAGAAAATGGTCGCCAGAAAAGAAAAAAAAAACTCGTTGAAACTCGTAGTAAACAAATGGAGAATTTCTAACTTCTTGCTACTCGACATGCCTTTGTAATCGAGTTGAGTGTGCTGTAGTTGGCTTAATAATTTCTGTGAGCGAGGTAAATCCTATTTGCTTTGTTGATCAATACTGCTGGATTCCTGCTTATCCCCGTTCCTCTCGAGAAATTTTCTATTGGATGTCGAAATTAATCCTGGATTTGGTTGGTTTTAATTCGCTACGCTCTTTGATTGGTCAAGAAATTTTGCGTCTCTCTCTCTGAACCAATCAAATGCAATACTAAAACTTAGTACGACTGGGTCACTCCCGTTTTTCCGCGCTTTGGTTTGCTTGTTTTTACTTCGAGCTCTTATTGGCTCTTCATGAGGTATACCTCTCTTTTGATTAGCCCATGTGATTACTTTGGTTTTGGGTTTTCCTATTGCTATTCCTCCTGGAGGGGATGTCATTGCATTGCAGGTAGCTAGCCACTCAGCAATTGCTGTTACCCCTCTATTCTTCTGAGTTGAGAAAGGCACTGTTTGAGAAGATTATGCAACAGAACACAGAGACCTGGGCGAGGTTGAAACCCAGACCTTTCAATCCAGAGTCGGGCGTGCTAGCCATTGGGTCACTTCCTTTGCGTTTCCCACATTCTACCGGCAACGCTAGCTGCGATGTTTATTATTTGACATTATTTTTGCAGAACCAAGCAGCCGTCGACCGCGTGGGAGGGAGTCAGTGGAGCCTGAATGGCTGATTAATTATAAAAAGAAGCAGAAGGAGCGACGGGAAAATCAAGAGAGGATGGAAGCCCTGGCCATTCAACAGAGTCTGGAAGGTGCAGCCTATGGTCGACCAATCGCACCCAAACTCACCGGGGGAACGTGTGCTCTGGCGTTACCGACTGTCTCGTCTGCTGGAGAACAGAGGAAGGTGACTTGGGTGGCCATACCTAAGAGTATCAGCCCATGGAATGTAGTGACACCAATGAAACCACTTGAAGATGTGTCTAAGGGTGGAATTGTTTTGCCTGAAACCAACGTGACAAGTGCTCGTACATCTCCAGACGTTAGGTAGGTATTATGGAGTTGTTAAGATTCATCATTCCTTTCTGTATCCCAAGAACATTTCTGAGTAAAACGTTGTAGTAATTGTCAAAGAAGGATTCGTTAAAATGTCACTTTTTTTCTGGCCCTTTTGTGGTTTTGCCGCTGAGGACCCCGGGCTTCGGTACTTTTTTAGCGGCCATCTAGGTTTTGTTATGTTTTGAGTTCGAAATAAATCATTTTATTCGATGAGTTATTCCTGCTTATTCGACTGTTCTGCTATCGAGAACAGTAATGATAAGTCGCAGATTTGTCATTATTCCCAACTGATGGTTTTGTTAAGGTGTCGGGAATGTATTTGCCCTCACCTTTCTCATGGTAGTAGAGCAGGGCTCGAAGTTAACTTTTTAGTGCACTTGCAAAGTTTTGCTAGTAAGATTTTTTTCCACTCGCAAACCGGTGAGACCACTAGTAAATTCAACGCCACTGGCACAAGCCAAGTAATTTGTGTGTGTGTGTGTGTTTTGGGCACGTTTCCACTCACTACTCTTACTACAATGGACTCCTGATTTATGTTGGTCTTTTTCTGCCATCTCTTAGTTACAACATTTATGTGTTTTGTCGATTTTATTACAGTATCTGCCATGAGAGTGTTTGTAAAACAAGTGAAAATCACGCGCCGTCCCCAGCCGTAACAGAAGAAGCAGAAGTCATTGATGATATCATGAAAACCACTTCACCAATGAACGAGGAAACTATTGAACATGCACAAGGACAAGAAACAAGTGTTCCTTATGCAGAGAGTGATCCTAAGTCTGTTAGTACCACTACAAATGTCACAGAGACTAAAGAAAGTAACAAAGAGAATGACCTGAAAGACTCAACGGAGAAGGCAATTACGGAGACTTCAACCAACAAGCCTGCTACAGCATCCAAGAACAAGACATCACGTGACAAAAACGGAGGTGGCATGGCAGGTAGTCGCGTGACGTCAAAGTCACAAATCTCTGATAGCGGAGGAAATTCAGTTGGAACGTCGCGTAAACCAACATCAAATTCACAGGCGAGCTTGGCAGGAAATTATATTCTGGAACCTGATCCAAAGGTAAAAATAACGCTGACAATGTTGTGTTTACTTTGTATACTTTAAAGGCGGGCGGTCGGGAAGACTTTTTGCATTTGGCCGCTAAATCTTACCATCCATGACCTGCACGGAAAGGTTTACTAAAGCATTGTTCGCACCAAAGAGGTCTCATTTGAAATCCTTCCTTAGTGTTTGTTTTCAGGAGAGCAACAGATCGTAGTCTGGAACACTGATGCCTTTTAGAGGTCTTTAATTCTCTTTTGCCCTCAATAGCGAAAGAGTGGAATGAGCAGAATGTACTCATCTGTGTCCGAACTTATGTGAGATTTATTTTTGTTTTAATTTCAGGTCATAAATCGAGCGCATGCATTTGCAGAAAGTTTTTTAGCCAAAGTCAAGGTGAGAGTGAGAGGATGTACACGATCCTCTGTTTGACACGACGTATTCTTTAAGTGGATGAAAAAAATATCGCTGTCCTTTTGATTTTCCTCCCGCAGAATAGGCGATAAAACTCTCTTTCTTGTTTATTTTAGAAACAGCTCGCGGATGATTCGAAAACTTATGAGGAATTCCTTAGGACACTTGCGACGTCTTCTGCTGAGCAATGCTCACCAGTCGAGGTATGCTTCTCTGTGCACCGCTTAGCTAACAAAGAACCGTTGTTGTTGTTGTTGTTGGCTTGACTTCGCGAACGAAGATTAAAAAGGTTGTCCACGTTGACATCGGCTGCAGGCACATTTGTGGCTGACCCGACGGATGCGGGAAAGGCAGATCCGCGGGCAGTATCTGCAGGTGGAGGCGGCGCGGGCTTTCCTCCTCTGACGCTTGTCTTTAAGTACCTCACGTCTATCCTTCTCAAACTGAGCAGTGGCTTGGTTGATTGTGTGGCGCCAGGTACCACTGTCTGTAGCCAGGTCAGACCACTCTTTGTGGTCGATGTTGCAGGTGCTGAGTGACTTCTTTAGGCTGTCCTTGAAAATCTTCTTTGGAGCCCCTCTCTCATGATGTCCGGTTGAGAGTTCACCGTACATGACAATCTTAGGTAGGCGGTGGTCTTCCATTCGGGAAACATGACCAGCCCATCGGAGCTGGTGCTTCAGGATGATAACAAAGAACCCTAAAGCGCACATAAAACCGTTAGTTGCGCAGGCTCCATGATCAGTATCAATCTACAGTAGTGTAAAAGCGTTGAGCTGTTATTTATATTGTGGTGCATGCGAAAATTACTTGAATTGGTCAGTGAAAGAAGAAAATTGCTTGAATCAAAGCGACAATTCTCTTTCCTTCAGTTTTTCTTGATTTTTCTCATATCAGTATTTTCGTCCAGCTGTATAGGAGGATTGGTGTAGTCCTGGCTCAGTATCCGAGTCTTGTGGGGGATTTTGTAGGATTTTTGGAACCTCACCAAGCGGTGGAAGCAGGCGTGGTGAGTTAGACATTTGATTTTTACGGAAAACTAACGACGCAGCCACTACTTCGTTTATTAACAGTCTCGTCTTCATGGTTGTTATTTAAGGTTGCTAAGTGGGAAACACCTTGCCGTGGCCCTACACTTTACGCGCCGGTTTCTGTCGAGAGGTCTGGGTATGAGTTGTGGCAGGGTCATTTTGGCAGACTGTTAAGGTAACCTGGCAAACTGTCAAGGTTACCTTGCAAATTGTCAAGGTAACCTAGCAGACTGTCAAGGTAACCTGGCGGGCTGTCAACGTAACTTGGCATATTGTCAAGGTAACCTGGCAAACTGTCAAGGTAAACGGCAGACTGTCAAGGTAACCCAGGAAATTGTCAATATAACCAACCTAGTAGACTGTCAAGGTAACCTGACAGACTGTCGAGGTAACCTGACAGACTGTTCAGGTAACCTGGCAGACTGTTAAAGTAAGCTGGTATACTGTCAAGGTAACCTGGCAAACCGTCAAGGTAACCTGGCAAACTGTCAAGGTAACCTGGCAAACTGTCAGGGTAAACCTCAGTTGTATGGGCCACTTGGTTTGAGTGCGCAACTTATTGATATAAAGAGCCGCATATTCTAACTGATTCGACAACGTTTTTGGTGTGTTGTTTTCGACTTATGACCAGTTCTTATTCATATTTTTGTCTGATTTTGTTTTCAGTTTATGGCAAACTTGGAGTTTGTGAGGGCCAGGACATTCCTAAGAAAGTTAGAGGTATCTCCAAGTTCATATTTTCCTCGCTTGTTACTACATGTTTTGTTTGAAAAGGAACTGATACGTTGATCGGAGAAATTCTTTTAGATATTTAGATATTTTAATAGGAGTAAAAATTTATTTTTATGTTAAGGTTTATAAAAGCCTAGAACGTCCGATACTCGATTATTGCTCTCCAGTTTGGTGTCCGCGCCTTAAAAAAGACTCAAACACCCTGGAGAAGATACAACGTAAAGCATCCAAATGTGCGCTTGGAAAAATTGGGCAAGATATGACCTACGAAGAGCGCCTAAAACTTCTTAAATGGCCAACACTTGAGCAAAGAAGATTATTCGCGTCAGTTACCGAGTGCTATAAGACAATAAATAGACTTAATCCCTCGGCATTTTTCACGTTTGCACATGATTTTCGGCCTTTAAGAGCCAATCACCGTTTCAAACTTAAGTTTGCATCAGCAACCTTAAATAGTTTCAAATATTCATTTTTTTTTATACGTATAATTGATAGTTGGAATAATCTGCCAAAGGAAATCGCTGAGGCGGGAAATTTGAATATTTTTAAGAACAGACTGAGAAGTCACCTCGTAAATTTTGCTAGTGAACGCTAAGTTCTTATTTTTGATGTATTATATTTATAGTTGTATCTTAATTAATGTCATAATCTATTTTATTATCAGGAGATAAACTAGAAAGGGATAACCTCTTTTATCTCCTTTTCACTTTTTATTGATTGTGAATAAATATTTATTATAAGGTGCACTTCCAGCGGAGTCCTTCCCAGTTCAGGAAGATTATCAACGCTTTTGATTCATGGAATAAGAGGTCGGCGAAAAATCCTTTGGAGGTACAGAAAACTAAACTACTATGCTTTGGAGAGTTATTTATTAACCAAAATTAGGCTACTTTGTCCACGATTTATTATGAACTAGCCCTTATACAGTCTCTTGTAATATGGCACCCAGATATAGTAAATATTAGATGAGGTGTCATGCGATATCTTTTTAATCGTTTCAGTTGCAACAAATCATTATTCCGATGTTAAAAGGACAGGTCCATCTTATTGAAGAATTCTACTCCTTTTTCGACGACTTGAAACCGCCCGTGTGGTAAGCGATGGTATTACCCTGTATTTTCTATTTTAACCTTAAAAAAATCTTGACACATTTTTCTTTTATTCCCATAGTTCCGACGACGATTTTGAGGAAATTGAATTCGGAAGTGGAAGTGAACCAGAGGTATTATCAAGAGTTTTTATGATTTCAAGCAAAAAAAATTGTTGAATTTGAGGGTTTTTCGTGAATTGTAATTCTAATTTTGTTATTTATAAAGTACCCAATAACAGTTGACGAGGATCAACAAACTTATGATTTAGGGGGTTTCATCTCCATTTAGAATCAAATTCTCTAAACCATTTTTTTAATGGAATATATAGTACTTAGAAGGGAGTATTTGAATTCAGATCTCAGGAAAGAGAGAGCCTCTCCAACCATCCACTGAAGGGACATGTCTTATCCAGAAGGACGACTAATGCCTCTTCAAGAGTAAAATTAATAATACAGTCTTGCTTTGTTTCCTAAGGTGGATGACTTTGAGGAAGTAGTTATACCATGCTTTGTGGAACCTAAGAAAATCAAAGGCAGACCAGCCAAGGGAGACACCCAGCCAAAAAACTCGAACACAAGAAAGGCTAGAAAACCTTGTGCGACGACGAAAGGAACAAAACAGCAAGGAACTGTAAACAAACAGATGGGGAACAAAAATAAAGTCAGTCAAGCAAAAACGAGCAACACAGGAGGAAAGGAACTGTCAAAGGCGGAAGGAAAACATGACAATCTTACAGGGAAAATACTAGGGGATGATGTTGCGAAAAACATAAAGACTTCCTTTGAAGTGTCAGCAAATATAGACTCGGCTGAGGATGGGAGTGGAGTGTATGAACAGAGAGCGGAAGTGAACGCACTTGAAGCGCCCCTTTCTGTCACCACATCGCTGCAATCGGAGACTAGCAACGACAGCTATCGCGGAGAGGAGGGAAGCTCTAATCATCCGGACTCTATAAACCTCGAACATGAAGTACAAGGTGAGCGGAGAACCTCAGATAGTGAGGAACAAGAGGATGATGGGAATTCCGACATAGAGCATGATGGATACGAAGAAGATGACGATGACGACTTTATTTATGGTGACGAAATCGACGGCGACGTCATCAAGAGTGACGTAGACGCCGAGGCAAGTGGATGCGATAGTGACGCTGCAAATGTTGTGTCTGGTAGTGCTGTGGTGCCAGCTAAGAATCTTCAACGCAGTCAAGACGGACAAGTGGTCCTGCTGTGGACAAGGTGAGTTATTTCTGTTCTTTGTCAGTTGTATCGTAATGCATTCATTAAATTTGAGGGTAGAGTTTCTTGAAAACTTGTTTCTTAACCCTTTTCCATTTTCTTTTGGCATCGAACGGATTGAGACCCAGGGGTTTTAGACTAAGGAGAACTTTAATAATTTTCCTCGTCCAATCGGTTGCAAGGAATGGTTGAGAGTCCTATGAAATCTCAAATGTGATTAAGGAACAGGATGCATATCTCTCCTTTGAACTAGTTTAATCCAGTCTTCAACTCACGACCAACTAGCAATTTCTTTTCCTACGCTGGCGGTTATTGCTGTCAGGGTGCTTACGCTGTTTATCGTTCACTTTACATTTAGAGAGTGAAATACTAGGAAAGATTGATCTTATTTTCGTTTTCTTTCTCTAGGGAGAACGACAGATTGATATTACAGACGTGCCAAAAGATGGGTGCTAAATCTGAAACTTTCGAACATATTGCAAAGGAATTAGAAAAGAAATCTGCAGATGAGGTAGGTGTGCAATTCTCTTTCACCATTCAACCACTGAGGACCAAATAAAAACAACGTATTTAGTTTACCAGAAAAAAGACGAAATATTTTCAAGGTTAATTTGATTTTCGAGTTACAGCACAGTAACTGAAATCGCAGGAAGTAATGCCTCACCATCCAAAAGGGCTGACCCAGTAACAAGGCCAATTAACAATGGCAATTAAAAGACAATCTACAACAATCAACGAGTATTGACACAGCATCTGTAAGCATGGCATCCCAGTCATACACAGCCGCTCTTAGTCTTGTCACGTAATCATTCTTCTCTGTCACGCTTTCGTAGGGAGGAAAATTGCGTGACAATCCTAAGAAGGTCCGCATAGGGGACTACACTCATCGAATGCAGCAAAGTTTTAAGTTACCATTGTATGCTGACCATTCTATTGTACTAATAATTGCAGGTGAAAAAGCGGTTTATGGATCTACTGAATCTCTACAAGGCTAGCAGTGGAGAAGGAACCAGAGAATCAACAAACGACGATTCTTGTAGCGAGGAGGAAGAAGATGAGGACAGCGAAACTGTCGGTGAATCAGAGGGAGAACAGCCCCGCGACTAGTGGTGTCACGCTTGAATTTAGTAACGCAATTGAAAGAAGAATTTCGTCACGCAAGACGATTTTGTTGAGTTGGCAACCATCTTATAATGTAATGTGTCACGGAGATTAAGCCAGTGACAAGAATGTAAAATACTAAAATAATTCTTAGTTTGGTTAAGCTAACAAATATTTCAAAGAAGTCGGACAGAAAAGGAATACACGTGACGAATAAGTTTACTGTACGGGTTTTAATAAGTATGTCCTTATTAATTGAATGTGAGAATGTAAATGTAATTTTTATGATTTGAATCAGACTCCAATGCAGATAATTTTGGAAAATTTGAAATTAAAAAACAATACAGGAATAGTTATAGTTTAATCCAAACAAAAATATAATCACTGGTGAGAAGTGAATTTCTATGTCTGTTAACAGCAAAAAAATTGTTCTCGAAGTTCCCACCAAATTAATATCCAAAAAAATGGCCGTGAATAAAGTCAGTCATGATTTTAAATGAGAGGAGTTTCCTTTGACCTCCGGATGAAAATCAAGTAAAGAATGGCTCTTTACGCATACGTGATTAATGTTCTTGTGAAATTTTTGTAAGGATAAATAGTGAAGATGCATGAAAATGTAGAGCAGGCTTTGAAAAGGTTTAGAGAATAAGCCGTCCTTGTTCCTCTATTAGGCGTGGTCGAGTCTCTTGTTCAGTGGAGACGGGTGAAAGTGGCGGTTGTCAGGGAAACAGAATACCATTCTCCTTTGCTCATATTGATCACGAGCTGGGTACAGGCGCAATATCCGGAAGTGCAATTGACTTACAGATGTAAAATACCGGGTGGTTTCAACGATCACAACTGAAAAAGTCGGTCGCAACTTTGCACCTGATTGGTTGAGGGGTTAGCACGTGTGTATTTTAGGCCAATGCCGGCGAGAAGTATAGGCAAATAATTGTAATCCTCTAATGATACCTTTCCCCCCAGAAAACCGCCCCAACAGCACACTTACGAAAAGCTTGGCTCTCGCCTCTGTCTTTTCAAATGTAACTCATTTTGGCTGATTTTCGGTGTACAGTTTAAAGGAATTTCCAATAGGAGCCATCTCTGCGGATCAAGGACTATCCTTGCAACGCACCAAAAACTGAGATTCGCAAAATTTCGTCCATATACGGTGAGACTTTAATCTTAAAAAGTGTGGATGGGCTTCCCCAATTCACTGAATCTCCATGGCTAACTGAGCTCTCATTCATTGGTGGAAAAGTCCATGGTGGCTCTCCAGGACTTAAGGCCCATAATCGAGAAACTTGTCTAACAAAATTGAGAATTCTCCAACTCTACCAGCGAACATTTGACGAAAAGTTCGCGGGTTGCCTTCCTTTCAGCTCACCAATAGTAAGCGTGACGATTAAAGTGCAGGGAGAACTTTGGGAGAGAGAGGGAGAGAGGAGGGACGAGGTGTTGCATGACAAAACCGTGTTGGGTGGGGTGGGGCATAACTTGGCTTTGTATTTGTTATGAAACTACGCACGCGCCGGTTGAGGGAAAACAAAGATGGCGAATTGATGAAATGTGAGCGTATACTTCTCGTTCGGGTTTTTCGCTTGTTCTCGTTCCTTAGTCATCAAAACCAGTCCATTCTCATTTCTATACACTGTTTAAGATTTCAGTACTATTATATTTTGTACATACGAACATTTTACTTCAATCCTTGCCGATTTATTGAGACTGTTTCGAGAATCCTAAAGTTTACATCCAGTATAGTCGTGGTTTTGTGAGGCATAAGCATGTTTAGAATACCTAATTCCTTAAGATTCTTTGGACGGAACAGTAAACAGATCTACAGTTCAAAAGGTAAGACTTTACTTTACGGTAGCAGCGCTTTAAAGACTGTCCTGTTTCTTTTTGCGGCCTTTCGTGTCCAACTCATCTGACAACCGGTCTTTTGTATCCTTACCTAAACATATTTTGCAACTAATTTGAGCTGTTCAGCATTTTTATAACGCGCACGAGGGAAGACTCTCTTCGAAACACAAGCAAACATTTTACTATTATACTAAATGAGATATTACTCTGGAAGTATTTGCGTTTAAGAAAGGTCAGGCGAGGGTGATCACGACATCCGCTTACTCAGTTGTTTCCACAAACCTACGATGTCCGTTTTGTAAACTAAGTTGAACTTTACGTGGATGTTTTCCACGAAACTTAAAGCATTTGTCTGATTTCTTAGACACGCGTGAATTTCTTTTATTTCTTTCGCGGCATTCGATTTTCCGGTAAATTATGTGACGTCTTTGCTCGCCCTTTGGACCGTCGTAGCTAACAGAATTTTTATTATGCAAGCGTCGTCATATGACATAACAAAAAGTTTAAACAGGCCTTTTTTTCCAATCGATTCAAACTTCTTCCTTTGTTCACTTTGAGCGTAACAGCAAGCCTTGTCGTGAAAATCAATTTAACGTTGCTCTGTTTTAACTTTTTTGTTAGCAGAGTTGTTTCATCTTTCCGTAGACTTTCTTGTGATGGAAACATTAAGTCAAACTTTCCTACAGGAATCCCAGAATATTTTTAAGATTGTCATAGAGCTGAACTGTAAATAGAATCATGGTATTACGTTGTTGTTGTGAAAAGTTCAATATTGTACTCTGATTCTGCAAATGAAACCATTTTTAATTGATAATTGAATTGCCTTTGATCAATTTAGGACCTAACTGTGAGCATCTCTGGGGAACTGTTTGTGATAAAAGCTATATAAATATTCTGGAAACAGAATAGAAAATGTCGGATGATTGTAGTTTGAAAAGCTAGTTAAGTTTGTTGTGTTGAAATGGTAGCCTGTATCACTAGCACACAATATACTCCTCTTTCAGACTTTACCCTTCATGTTCACAAAAATTTCAAGAAAAAGATTTCCTTCAGTTTATCCAACTGTCCACAATTGAATTAACAGAGCTTTGCTTTCAATACTTTTGTCAAAGTAAGATTCTTGATCTCTGTGGAATTGTTCTTTTCTGCTAATCTAAAGGATATCCACTCTAACAAATTAAACTTGACAATAAGTTGACAAGAAAGCTTACTGTAAATGACTCTCTTGAAAGGAAGGCAAAATTAATTATTTTTGTTTTATCCTGGATCAGAGGAAATGAGGTTAAAAATAATGTGGAAAGTGTACAAAATAATTTTCATCTTATATGTGGGACAAAAATTCTGTCAAATTAAACCATTTTTCTCAAAACAGCACTTCACTTATCTGACAATGGTGACAGTTTAAGATGCATTTTACTTTTTCAGAATGTATAAAATCAGGTTACAGCTTGACAACGGTCAGAAGATTATATAATTGTGGTTCAAGAGATAGTAGACCAGTTTTTGCAGCTGTCATAAGTCTTTACAACTCAAGGCAAAGTACTCCAGAAATTCCATATCACTGCCATGAAAGAAATTGCAGAAGGGTTTATTCCTCAACTAGTGGAGGCAAAGACCAGAGTGACAAAGGATCAGGAAGTCAATGGAGTTGCCCAAAATGTGGAAATCCATGTACTACTGTGGAACGTAAGTAGAGAGTTACTAAGTACTCCTTTATTTAAGAGTAGTAGGTGATTATAGTTGTTCACTTAGCATGACCAGGAGGAGCATTTTACATCTACAAACAGAAACTTGGGTATACTCTGTAAGGTATGAGCACATGTGTAGTATTTGAACAAGAAAAGGTTTGTTTTTCTGTTTAATAACTACACAGAAAAGTTTCTTTCCTCTTATCTTGGAAATATTTTCTTATCTGTAAAAAGTGTTCACTAGAGTTTGTGAATTGGAGGGTCTTTGACGTTGTTGATACGTGGTTTTTAAGGAATTTCTGCCAAACCTTCACAGCCTCAACTTATTTTAGCAAATGATCACATTTTTCCAAGCTCTATAATGTTCTAAAGCAAGGTGGAATGTTGGGAGAACAAGAGAAAAGTTTATAAATCACAACCCAAAGGGATCCCAATATTCCAACTAACTTTATTAAGTTATAGAGCTGGAAAAAAAAATTGTTGTATTGCTTTTATAACATAGCTAGTTAAATGCAGGCTCTCTAACCTGATAAAGCATCTGCTTGAAAACTGAATTGACCAATCAGACAGTGGGTACTATGTTCATTATGTTACAGATAGATACTTGATGTAGACAAGGTATCACTGGCAGTTTTCATAACTGCTATAACACTTTTTCTGGACATCATTGAATATGAACTTCAACCAGCTACAAGATTTTTTTTCTCCTTGTTTACCTTGGAGCAGGGATTGGACAGTGGTGAGAGCACTTGCCTCCCACTGCTGTGGTCCAGGTTTGGAATCCCAGATGTTGTGTCCCATGTGGGTTGAGTTTGTTGTTGGTTCTCATCCTTCTCTAGGTTTTCTGGTTTTCACCCCCACCACAAAAACCCACACTGTAAATTCTAATTTGACCTGGAAACAGTGGATATTTAGAAGAACCACCAAGTGCAATTTTCACTGCCAAATTTCCATCTCTATTCCCATTAAATTTGGTTTAAAATAAAGGTTATAATTTACAGCAGTTTAAAACGTTTGTTTTTGTGTTTTGCAGCATCAACTCGTTTTGTTCAGTGTGACAAGTGTAATCACTTCTTCTTAATCTTATCGGAATCAGATTCGAAGAGATATATTCATGTTAAATATGATAAAGCTACTGGAAATGAAGCAGACAAACAAAGCAAAGCTGTACAAGCCCCCCCTCCACCCCCCAGAAAGGTTTGTGCACTCTTATGATTATTTCACAAGGAAATGTGTGGCAGCTAGAGGGGAGAATTGTCAATCAGATCTTGCTAGTTAAAGGGTTGAATGAATCTAAGAATCAAAGAATGACTTATTTCATTGAAAAAAGGGACCAGAGAGCAAGTCCAGATACTAAAAAAATCCAGATAAACAAAGTTTGACCATGTCATGTTGCTTCATTGCAATATAGTTTACATGATGCCTTTATATCTTCCCACAGATATTTGAATACTTGAACAAGTATGTAATCTGTCAAAGTTATGCCAAGAAAGTACTGTCAGTAGCTGTATATAATCACTACAAGAGACTCTCGGTAAACTTGCCACAGGCCCAGCAATCTTCAGCGCCAACAGAAGTTAAACCAGTTCCTCTTCAAAGACCATTTCCCGGCTCTCCACAAGGTGATCATCTTTCTCTGCAGAATTAAGTTCTGACTTTCTTTGTTGTTATTGAAGAAGCTTTTTAAAACAGTAGACTAGCCAGGGAAATTGTCAAGGAACAGATTTGTTATCTTGAAAATAACTGTTGTTTTAAGTAATTTACTAGATTGGTATTTGTCCATTGGTCAAGTCTGTGGTTTAAGGTTATTACACTTATCTGTGGCAGCCAAAACTGCATGTAACAGTTAAGGAGAAAATTTATTATCTGGCACTGCAATAGTTTCTTGTGTTAGCTAAGGATTTACCTTAATTACACTGATAACAAAGATCAAGTATTGCTGCAATCCAAGAAAAAACAGCAGCAAAAGTATTATTAAGTGTGCATTTGTATGCACAATTTTCACCGTGACCATTCCCTCTAACCTATCCCTGCTATAGATGTGCCCTGTAATGCGTACAATTAGTTCTAACCTATTACTAACATTTTAAGACTATGTTTTTCCTTTTTTCCTTTTGGATAGAACTGCAGATGCTCATGACTCAGACATCAAACCTCAATTCTCCTCTAGGAGCGAGTGGTGTCCATTCACCAAGTCAGCTAAAAGAACAGGCAGGAAGTGACATCTTGGACTCAGATGTGGACAAGATTCAGCTGGACAAGAGTAACATCTTGCTCTTAGGACCCACAGGCTCTGGTGAAGGAAACCTCTTTTTTTCTGTTCATTCTAGCAATGAAATAAATTGAATCAATAGATGTTTAAAGTTTCTATTTAATGAGAGAAAAGGCAGAGTGCAAGTCCTCTCAAGGATTTAAACCCTACCTAGTCTCACTTGCCAAGGGAAATCCTTTGCCAGGTCATAGAATGCTCCACTGATGATGATAAGTCATTTGCTAGATTCCGCATATGTGACATGTGTCCTGTTTGCTGCTTCCTTAGAGCCATTGTCTGAAAAAAAAAAACAACGTTTTGATCATTTGTCATGAACATGTGACAAAGAATCAATTTTGAAGGGAACAGTTTGGTGGTAGAACTCACTGATAACCATGCATTTTCTTTTTCAAGGTAAAACTTTGCTTGCACAAACTATAGCTCGATGTTTGGATGTCCCCTTTGCAATCTGTGACTGTACTGCTCTGACACAAGCTGGATATGTGGGTGAAGACATTGAATCTGTTATTGCCAAGCTCCTTCAGGTTAGCATAACTGATTAATTTTTCAGAGTGAACAGAAGTATAAATTGAGAAATTTGCCATTGTTGACACAGAAGTTTTAGCAGTTTTATTTTCTCACCTTTCACAGGAGGCTGGTAACAGTGTGGAAAGAGCACAGCAAGGTAATTATATCAAACAACTGTGTAACTGGCTTGCATTCAATGATAATGTTAGCTGATAATGCTTTTCACGGAAATTTGCATATTTTAACCAGTAACCGTAATAGGAGTAAGCAGGGTACAATCTACGATTGAACCATCATCAAGCTACACGTAGCTTTTTCAAATTTGCAAAGCTTGTGGGGGAAGTCTGGATTGAAACTATAAACAGGTTTACCTTTCAACTGAAGGACACAGTGTCCAATTACAAACTTTTACAGTAGGTACTAGATCCCCAGGAATGTAATAACTGAAGGGTGAATACTAAATTCTGAGGTTGGTAATAAGCTTAGGAAAACTTGACCTCTGGACCAGTCTGGAAAGTACACTTGCCTAGTAACAAGTTTCCACAAATTTGATTGCTCAGCATGGACTAGACTATCTCATTTGGAAGCATTTTGATTTAGATGTTACTAGCCGATGATGTTTTACAATGATTGTAAAATATTATTGGCTAGTGACATCTGATACTTAATTTTCATTGGCTAATGAGCTGTCTCTGATTGGATAAGTCAAATTAGGCAGTGTTGGTGGTGTTTTTAAATTCAAACAAAGTACTACACAATGACTATTTTGAACCAATCAGATAAATCAACATTTTGTTATTGTCGGTTAATGCGCTCTAATCTTTGCACTTGCTTCCATCAGGAATTGTGTTCTTGGATGAAGTGGATAAAATCAGTTGTGTACCAGGCGTGCATAATCTTCGAGATGTTGGTGGTGAAGGTGTGCAGCAGGTACTGACACTCCTTCAAAGTAAATTTTTATTCTTTGGGTTTGGATCTCGGGAAAACACAGGCCATTAAGTTGTTCAAATGGCAGTGTAGGCTCAAAACTGTTTCAAAAATCCCAAACCAAAAAAAAAAAAAAAAACCCTATCATCATGTTAGTTAATGAATTCACAAATCACAATCGTTTCCACAGTCAGTATAGAGCAAAGAGGCCATAATCTAAGAGTGTCTCCGAAGTCCCTATGTATTAGGTCCTATCTCAAATATTTTCTGTTGAGTCACCAATGGGATCCGTAATCTCCTCTCCCCGCCGTTCTCCATTGGCTAGGCAAGCTTTTTGAAGACTTAAGAGGGCTTTGAAGTTCTTATCTAGTTAGTTATCATCTGACATTTTAGACAGGAATAACTGAGATATATTTCCTCAAACTGTATTGTTTGTAGGGCTTGTTGAAGATCCTTGAAGGGACCGTAGTAAATGTCCCAGAGAGGAACTCACGGAAGATGCGAGGGGACAGTGTAGCTGTGGATACCACTAACATATTGTTTGTAGCTTCTGGAGCATTTAATGGACTGGATCGAATCATTAAGAAGAGAAATCAGGAAAAGGTACTTAATGTTTATGTGGATGGGAACCTTTCAACAACTAATAGACTACAATAAAGGTTGGAAACAATCTTCTGTACAGCTTATGTTTTCTCGTGTATTAAAAAAAAACACTTTGTTTATGCTTATGTACCAACGAAAACAACATTTTTTTTCGTTTCTTACTGCATTATTTCATTATGTTATGATAGTACTACTGGCTCTGTTTATTTTGATAATAAATAGAAAAAGACTGGAAAAGGGTAAGATGTAGGTCGACAGGATCACAGCCGAATGCGCAGTAACGTGGTCAATGTACCAAGCAAAGATGGCTCGGAAGATGAGATAATATTACTAGTTAGTATGCTAATATTTGAGCAAGATTTGTTGACAAGAAAACAAAAACTTCTTCGGGTTAGTTAGGGTTGCCGTTAAAGTGAACATGTTACAGTTTTAATTGTCCCTTGTGTTGACAAAGTTTTTTTCGCGTTAATCGTCAACATGCGATATTTATCTGTCGGTACTGTTCTACCAGGTGATCGGGTTTGGAGCACCCACCAGTGATCGAGGTTCTAAAGAAAAAGAGCTTGATATCTTCAAGAACTCCCAGCCTGATGTTAGAGATGATAACGCCGAGCGAGACAAGTTGCTCAGTAAGGTGGAGGCACGTGATCTGGTTGACTTCGGGATGATACCCGAGTTTGTGGGTCGACTTCCTGTGGTTGTCAGTTTACACTCTTTGGATGAGGAGTCGCTCGTGAAGATACTGACTGAACCTAGAAACGCTCTGGTTCCACAATACCAAGCACTATTTAGCATGGACAAGGTATGACCCAGCCATCAGATTGTCTTTTTCGGTCTTCCAAACGGACCTTGATCCCCTTTCGGTGGCATACAAAACACTAAAGTTCAATTTCGGCTTCATCGTCTAGTGAGAAAATCCTTCAGGGATCCAGGATATTTTGAGATGGAGGAGATAAACACGGATGGAAATCTGTAATTCTATCTCCTTTAACGTGTGGTGTCGTTTTGTCTGCCCCTCCTCCCTTCCCTCATGAATGCTAGTATTTACCCTCCCCCCTCGGTAGTATTTTTTCGGGGCGTACCGACAGCATAGAAATGAGATCACTATGGTGTCCTTTGTGAAGTCACCTTGCTTACTCGCCAGCTCCCTTCATCCAGGCGCGTCGTTGTGTAACGTGTGTCATCCATGCTTCGAGAAAATTGACCAATTCTTGGTTTATTCCCAAATTGTTTTCGTTTTTTTTTTTAACGTGGTGGTATATTTGTGCCAGGGGTTTTCTCTTAAGTCAGACTGTTATCGGTAGGTGGAACTTAACCTCAGTCCTGATGCCTTGAGGTTCATTGCCAAGAAGGCTTTGGAAAAGAAGACGGGAGCTCGTGGTTTGAGAGCCATACTGGTACGTACACGATTATTAAATCACGAGGTGGAACACTTTTTGGTTTAGTGTCACAATACCAGAGCAATGATATCTCAACGGCTTATCAGAGCGAAAGTACATGTTACTTTTTCAAGGAGTCAATGAGCACTAAGGGTGAAAACTCAAGCGTGGGAATCCGCGTTCACCTATTGATGGTTTTCAGTTCCCAAACCGAGTTGTTGAGAGGGCTGTGCGAGTTTTCTGGACCAATCTTGAAGGGTAGTGAAGCAAGACCGCGGTTGTCCCACATTACTTTTGACAAAAATTGCTCTGTTAGGTCTTTCTGTCTGTTGTAACTCTCTTCGATTGTACCGTTCAATAAAAGATAGCTCAGTGCTACGTAAGAAATGTTTTTTTTCCATTTTCGTTTGCTGTTGCTGTTGTTGTTGTGTGAACTGTTTTCCAGCCAGGAAATTTTAAGAGAACGATTAGATCTACGTATTTATTTTTTGATGAATTTTTTTAAGGATTTTTCTGATGCACGATTTTCATCTTTTAGGAAAATTTACTGCTAGATCCCATGTTTGATACACCTGGTTCCAACATCCGGACAGTTTATATAGATGAACACGTGGTCGATGGGAGCAAAAAAGCTGAATACGTCTTGGCCCCTGAAGAAGAGGCCCCTAGTGCTGACGCGAATGAGGACCCAGAAGAAATCTATGCGGGGGACGTCAGTTCACGGGCATAGAAATAAAAAAATAAACATTGAACATGACTGTATGGACCATCAACAGTGGACTTCCTAGATTATTGCACTCTTCATTCTTCCGACAGGAAAATGTTTATAACGCTTTAATAAATTTTCAACGAAAAACGAAGACTTCGGAAAAACGCCCGATACTAAGAAAACTTGTGCTTTGGAAACTTGTTTCTGAAGGGTCTAGCACATCATATTTACTGCTTGGAAAACTTTTGTCTTAGTTTTCTTATTCTTATATCTGTTTTTAATATGGTGTTGCTTGTCTAAGGTTATGGCTGTCATTTTTTTTTTCTTTTTGCATGAGATCGTAAAATCTCTGTTTTAATAATCATGTTATCTTTTGTATTCAATAAGAGAATCTCTTTTTACTGTATAAAATCTCGTGATTTCTTAGCTGAATGTAAAATATCTCACTACTATTTGTCCTGTATTAAATTCTATTTGACCGTAAACCAATTTTCCCTGTGTCTAGTTGAACTGTCTTTACTTGTATAGAATCCCAATCCCAGACTAAATTGTCTTTTAAGGGTTTTTTTTTTAGAGAGGGTTCAATGCAAACAAAGGTGGAAGGCACAGTTGAGATTGATTTACCCTTCATCCCCTAGGAGTCACTGAAATCTAATTTCCCCCTACATTATAACCCGTGAATCACACAAAAACGTCAGGAGAATAAAGGAAATGATCACCAACTAATGAAGCTCTTGACTGTTAATCAAATTCCCCTTGTTTCAGTACAACAGGAAAAGTATAGAGAACAGTATAAGAGGACTTGCATACTGATGTTAAGGTGTAAAGTGTTTCGTGATTTATATGCAACTGCTAAAACTCAAAATATTTCGTTTCCCAAGCGATAGTCCCTTATTTTCAACGGTTACGGTAATGGTTTAGGAGTTGGCAATCCGTGAACAACATAGTTGATACTGGCAATTTTACATCTCGTTTTAGATATTCTTACTGAATATGCTAGACGTGGCGGGATAAAGACAGTAAATCACAATCTATAACAACTATTTGTCTTGAACAGGGTAGCCAAATAACGAATGATTAAATAGTAACAAGAAACAACAATGATAACAGTAGTAATGTAATAATAATTTAAAGAGGCTAGCTCGAAAGCCTCATGGTTTTCGTATCCTCCGGGCTCCAACAATGATTACCTATGTTTGTTTTAATTTCGCTTGTTAATTATAAATAATTTTCTTATTTTATTGCAATTCCATTTTTGAGACTTGTTTCATACAAGAAAGCATTTCGCTTTTTATGATACTCCGTCCGTGATCCGCCTTTCCACCGTTTTAATTTAATTTAATTTATTAGATTCGCCGACAAGCAGCGGGCCCAGTAAACCCACCCATCCCA